GGAATAAATATTTTACTCCATTTCAGCCTCCATGGAGGGCGTGAGCCTGGTGCAAGTAAATACCAGGGGTTATCATGAACTTTATCTCCAAAGGTAATTCTGGCTCTTCCGAGATCTTCCATATGGGCCTCTTCTACCCACTGTGACCTCAGTGATAGTTTTCAAAATTATTTTTTAACTATGCAGTATTGCAAACCACGGAGCTGTCTCTTCAGACTCCGTGTGAATTAAAATCAGTGCAACATTTGAATCCAAGCCACACAAAGGTTAGCAGTGGCAGCTTCGTTCTCTGATTGTTGGCTGAGCTTGTTCTTGTGTTTCCCTGTTGTGTCGGGGAAAAGAACCAAAGAGATTAGTAGTAAAAGCTTTGAGATCTAATTATGATGAGGGAGTTCCAAAGGAAATTAAACATAGCATGATTACTTTTTAAAAAATACAAATTAAAGAGAACATCTTAGCAAATAATCCTCCCCGTTCAGCAAGCTCATTTCCCATCAGGAGGTGGAAGAGGATATTTGAGAGCTCTTATTAGCGAATAATCGTGCCTGGATTTTTATGACACTTTTACTTTATCTAAATATTTTCTTTCATCTTTAACTTACGTGATTCGCCCAGGTTTTTACTAGTCTTTGCAATCATTTTCAAACAGTACCTAGTTGGAGAACTACTGCTCGATTCCATCTTCTGCATCCTAAGAGCCCTGGGTTTTGGTGGAAGGTCTGGGCTGAGAAGGTCCGAGGGGAGGAAGATGAGGAGACGGCAGATGCTCAAGACTGGGTCCTCCCGCCGCCCCACAATCCACCAACCGTGTCAGCCAGAACCTCCTTTAATAAAACTGGGAGGCTGTGGGCGTGGGAGGGGACCCGAGACGGGCCTCGCCGGACCTCAGGTCTCCATGGAGCGTCTCTTCTGGTCTCAGAGGGCTTGGGGGTTTCTCCTCCTTCCTGGACTTCTCACCGTTTTCCAGGCCAGTGGGCATTTCTCCTCTGCTCCACACCGTGCTGACTTTCCTTAGGCTTTGACCCGTGTCTTTTGGCATAATAAGGAAGGACTGTGCCCCCCTCAGAGAGTCCACCTGCTCTGTTCTTTCTTGGTCATAGCTCCTGCCAGCCACCCGCTCCCTTCTCTCAATGCACATTCCACCCAGTTTCCTCTTGAATCTGAATGCATGTCTCTCCCTCCTGAATTCTGACAGGTCTGAATCTCAGCATTGGGGCCCATGAGCCTGTTCTCGTCCATTCTTCACCCTTCATTGAATTTCTTTCTGAGCACACCCTTCCTACCGGAAAGCTATATACTTTTTAAAATTGAAGTATAGCAAATTTACAACGTTTCAAGTGTACAGCAGATGGATTCAGTTGTGAATATGTGTCTTCCTTTTCAGATTCTTTCCTATCATAGGCTACCGCAGGATACTGAATATAGTTCCCTGTGCTATACAGTAGGTCTTTACTTATATCTATTTTTTTAAAGGCCTGTTTGTTTATTTTTTTGGCCATGTCCCGCAGCACGTGGGCATCTTAATTCCCCCTACCAGGAATCGGACCCATGCCTTGCAGTGGAAGCACAGAGTCTTCACCACCAGACCACCAGGGAATTCCCCTTGTGTAACTATTTTATATGTACTAGTGTGTGCCTGTTAATCCCCAGCTCCCGATTTATGCCTCCCTCCCACTTTCCCCACTGGTGACTGTCACTTCATTTTCTATGTTTGTGAGTCTTTCTGTGAAAGCCGTATCTTCTCAATGAGCTTGTCTCTTCATCATCTGTCCAGAGCACAAAGGGTTTTATACATATGATCTTGCATCCTCCAAACCATGTACCTTTCAAATTTGAGGACATGTAACTCCTGCATTTCAATTGTTAAACACAAACCCCATCCATGTTGACAGCATTTTCCTCTCATCAGTATCATACACATCAGGCTCCTGACCTTACCCTCAGCACCTCCTCTCTCCTCTCCGGCCCTGCCTCCTGTTCAGAGGTTGCATCCGTCTCTGTTTCCACCAGAGTCCATAGACGACCTTCTCGGCTCCGTGCCACATAAACCCATGCTTCCGATTCAGCTGTGCTCCGCTGGCCCACAGCGTGATTTAACCCTCCAAGGGCTCCCACCTTTCCCGTCCCGTCTGTCTGACACTTTCCCCTACTTTTTCTGTGTAATTTCCCAGATCGAGATGCCCCCGCCCTGGCCTCCCTAACTCTCTGCACTCAACACTCCCTCCGACTTTCTCTTCCCGCTGGTCCGCACTGGCCCTGGAAAGATGGCTTTTCCCTTCTTTTAACAGGAGGCTGAATTTGTCTTTATCCTTCTCCTCCATCAGAAGCCCCACTGTCAGCCTCCTTCTCCCTCAAGCTCCAGGAAATGTGTCCTCATCTCTTGAACTGAAGATGCAGCCGAAGTCTTTCTCCTCTGGACCCTGGGGTGAGGGGGCGCCTCCTGCCTGGACGGCCCCCTCTGGGCTGCGTGGAAGCTTTGATTTTACCTGCTGGGGCAGGGCTGTGCAACCCATCAGCCAGCATCTCTTCTCCTTCCCCACACCCGGGGCTCCCGGGGCTGTGCCCAAGTGCTCTGGAGCCTGGGGCCCCGCCTCGCAAGTCCATGTGGCCCCTGGCTCAGTCATGACGCATGTTTGCTTGTAATTTGTTGAGCAAGAGGCTCCCAGCTGTCAAGGTCATCTCATTCTCTGTCTCAGAGGTCCCCTCCTCGCAGGAGCTTCAGCCTGCTCTTGGTCTCTCCTCCTTAAGTTGGGGATGAGGGCAGCAGGCCCAGCCGCTCTGAGTCTCTGCCCTCCTGGGCCCCTCTTTCCCTCCGTCCCTCCATAGAAATTGATTTCACCACAGTTCTCCCCCAAGCCCTCAGGTGTTTGCCTTACTTACTGAAACTCTTCCTTTATTGAAGTATAGTTGATTTGCAATGTTGTGTTAATTTCTGTGTGCAGCAAGGTATTTCAGATACATAGATATACGTACATTCACATTCTTTCCATTACGGCCTGTCACAGGCTGTTGAGTCTCTTTCCCCATGTTCTGCAGTAGGACCTGACTATTCATCCATCCTTGGGATAAGAGTTTGCATTGGCTGACCCCACACTCCCGGGGCGTCCCCCCTACCCCTCCGCCTGGGCAAACACAAGTCCATGCTCTCTGCCTGTGAGTCTGTTTCCTGGATAAGTTCACATGAATTCATGGAGCCTCTTCCTGCACTCACGTCAGCGTCTCAGCAAGGCCACCCTCCATCCCAGGAGCCGTCTTCCTCCTAGTGGATGGGGCTTCTCTACTCCCTGTCCGGAGCTCCCGGCTCTTCTGTGAGTGATGCTCTTTCTCAAAGTAATTCCAGTGACTCTCCTCTGTGAGGGGCTCAATCCCCCATTTCCTGGGTTATGATATAACCCTCTACCTACACACCTAACCCTCTATCCTCACCACTACACACATATATGCACATGTGGCACATCCAACTGCTACACACATATATACACATGTGCACATCCAACCCTGCACACATACACACGTGCACATCCAACCCCTGCACACATATATGCACATGTGCACACCCAACCCCTACACACATATATGCACACGTGGCACGTCCAACCCCTGCACACATATATGCACACATGTGCACGTCCAATCCCTGCCCACATACATGCACACGTGACATGTCCAACCCCTGCACACATATACGCACACGTAGCACGTCCAACCCCTGCACACATACATGCACACGTGCACGTCCAACCCCTGCACACATACATGCACACGTGCACGTCCAACCCCTGCACACATACATGCACACGTGCACGTCCAACCCCTGCACACATACATGCACACGTGACACGTCCAACCCCTGCACACATACATGCACACGTGCACGTCCAACCCCTGCACACATACATGCACACGTGGCACGTCCAACCCCTGCACACATATACGCACACGTGGCACGTCCAACCCCTGCACACATATACGCACATGTGGCACGTCCAACCCCTGCACACATATACGCACACGTGCACGTCCAACCCCTGCCCACATACATGCACACGTGCACGTCCCACCCCTGCACACATACATGCACTTGCACGTCCAACCCCTGCCCACATACATGCACTTGCACGTCCCACCCCTGCCCACATACATGCACACGTGCACGTCCGTATGCATTTCCCCCTGCGCTCACCGCAGCAGGATCCAGCAGCAGGGTCTGTGCCCCGAATGCGTCATGTCTGCAGAGGCTCCTCAGACCAAGCCCCCCTCACAGGAGCCGCACCGACTTCTGCCTGCTCTTGGACTCTCCTCTGAGGCCGGGGACGCGTGGAACAGGCCAGCTGCTCTGAGTCTCTGCCCTCCCGACCCCTCTTTCTCTGCATCTCCTCCGTCCTGCAGCCTCCTCTCTCTTCCTTCCTTGACTCTCTCATCCGTTCCCGGACTCGTCGACTGAGAACAAAGGCCGGATCCAGCATCTCCACCAAACACCGCTGCACTGGCCTTGTGGGGGTGCTTTTCCTTCTCAGCCTCTGAACTCAGCCCCTGCCAAACCCCCCCATACGTGCACACACGGCACATAAATATACATACACATGTGTCCACATGCGTGCACACACACCTGCATACTCCCGCATACAGGCATACACGTGCACAGACACTGGTCACACACAAACACATCCCCTCAACACACACACCCCACATCTATCCCCCAGTCCCACCCAGCCCCGAAGGCTGGTGTGTGTGGGGGAGGGTCTGACTCTGGGGAGACTTCACGGGATGCACCGTTGCACCCATGCTAACCTAGGAGTTTATCTCTAAAATGCTCCAAATACTGATTTTCTGACACATTTTCCCAGTCAGATTTAAGTGAGAGGCATGGCCGTTTTTATCAACTCCATCTCCATTTCTTCCTTGGCACAGAGCGGGGGTGGATTCGTCATTGTCTGCATTGTAAAAAAGGGCCCGCAGCTTTCTCTGCCCCTCAGCCAGGTGATGTCTTCCCAACAGAATCAACCAGCGTCAGGACCGCTCCCTTTGTTCCCTTCACACACAGAGCCTCGACAGACCACGTGCCTGAGTCCTTCTGTGGGGACAGCAGCCTGGTCCTGGCTGTGCAGACCCTGGAGCTGATGCTGAGGGTCCGTCTCCGGGCGATGCCGGCGCACGCACTTTGGGGAGTCACCGCAGCAAGGCCTTGGGCAGAGCCGGTATTTTACAAGATGCTTCCATGGCTCAGAGGTTGCATAACTGGCGCGCCTGCAAGCTCGTGGGCTGGGTGGGGAATCTTGGCCCCTACGCTACCCTGTAGACCTTAGTTCTTCGCGGTGTCCGGCTGCCATTCTCAAGAGTCCCCTTTGGGTCTGGTTCTCTCTTCCCAGACCCCTCTCTATCTGAACCCCTGGGGGAATTCTCTGCTTTAGCGGCAGGATTTCCCCCTCTGCATTTTTCTGGAAACTCCCTGCAGAGAGGTCCCTGGCTGGTGACCTGCCAGCCACAGCCTGGTCTGTTAACCCTTTCCCAGCCCTGAGACATGTCAGAGGATCTCAGTGTCCCGGAGCTGTCATTCACGCCCCCTCCAGACCTGCCCAGAGTCTGAGGCTGACCACTGGGAGCCATCCCGCCCAGCCCAGCAAGAGCTCTTGCTGTCCGTCACCTCTCCTTCCTGCCCTAGAGTGAATACACATGCTTCCCCCTCACCTCCCAAGGCACCACCAACGTGCTAGGTTTCACCAACTGAAATTTTCAAGAGAGAGTTTTGATGAGAAAATCCTCACTTGGGTACCAGGCTTCTCGGTGCCTAAGTCTTCTTCCTCATCACTGGGAATCCTCTTAAATCATAGGCCTGGACCTTTCCTTCTCATCTCAATACTAAAACAAGATTTCTCAGTATTGAGTCTCAGGGGTCCATGAACTCGGATGAAAGAAAAGGTTATGATTAATTTCATAATGTTTGACTGTAGCTGAGATTCCCTCCCATGAATCTGTTGACAGAAAGCCATGGTAGTTTTGTCATTATTGTGAACAGGAGAAATCATGGGTATTTTCACATCACAATGGCATTTGGAGTCATGCCAAAACACATACTGTCACTGTTTATTGAAAATCGTAGTTGCTTCAGCCCTGCCCCTGATTTTGGTGGCAGGACAGCTGGAGAAGGACCTCGGTCCTTGGCCTTTTTGAAGAAAGAATTCAGTAGAGAGGGCAAGCTTGTGCAATAGTGATAGGGTTTGTTAGTAGCAGAGTACATGTGGAAGAGCTCACGCATGAGCTCAGAATAAGTTGCAATAGTGGGCAGCTTAGGTTGCTTATATGGGGTCAGTTTTCTGGGTTGTCTCTGGCCAGTCATCTCGATGTGTCAGTGGGAAAGCGGTCACAGCTGCCCAGCCTGGGGCAGCCTGTCTGTCTCCTGCCTTAGCTCTGCCTCCGGGGCTGCGCGCAAACCTCCAGGCAGCATCGCTGGTCAGGCTCAGGACCTCTCAGCCCAGCGGCCTTTCAGCCAGGAAACTTCCAACAGCTGCCCTCACGGTGGGCATTTAACTCAAAAAATTCTCTGGAGAACCTAGTGCTTCTGGAGTCCAGAGTATCTTTTCCTTGTGAAGCAAGTTCTGAAAGCTTTCATCCTATTCATAATTATGTCACTTGCAAAACAGAAGTCCCATCACCATGATCATAAAAATAAAAATGTCAGATATGTATATCCAGTCCTGATGGAACTGTTTCCTTGTCAAAGACATGCCACAGGCAAATGCCATTAATTTATCTAAGCCAAAACAGTCATTGTACTAATGTGTCATTACACATGAACATTTGCTTTAACTTGTCTGTATTTTTCATGCTATGTTGTGACTCATTAATAAGCCGGGATAAGTATGTTTTATTTTTTATTTTTAAAACCGTGTCTCCAAATAATCGCTTTTCTCTATGACTTGATGTATTTTATTTTATGTGTTTAAAAATATTAGATTCTGAGAAAAGAAATATAAGCCTTACCACATTGTCCTAGGGGTTCACTTTTTGGTCTCATTTATGTCTGAAGAGACAAAAGATCTAGAATCTTTGTGCTAAAGAGACACTTTCCTTATCTTTTCTCTTCACCAAATTTTAGGCCCTCAATCTGTTTTTAAAAAATTTATTTATTTTAATTGGAGGATTATTGCTTACAATGTTGTGTTGGTTTCTGCCGTACATCAACATGAATCGGCCACAGGCATACACATGTCCCTTCCCTTCTGAACCTCCCTCTCACCCCATCCCACCCCTCTAAGTGGTCTCAGAGTACCCCTCTGAGCTCCCTGCATCATCCCGCAAATTCCCACTGGCTGTGAATTCTACATGTGCTCCTCTCTCCACTGGTCCCACATTCTCCTTCCGCCTCTGTGTCCACAAGTCTGTTCTCTCTGTCTGCGTCTCTGTTGCTGCCCTGCAAATAGATTCATCAGGACCATCTTTCCAGATTCCACTAAATCAGTGCTTAGTCACTCAGTCACGTCTGACTCTTTGCAACGCCATGCACTGTAGCCCGCCAGGCTCCTCTGTCCATGGGGATTCTCCAGGCCAGAATACTGGAGTGGTTTGCCACGCCCTTCTTCAGGGGGTCTTCCCAACCCAGGGATCGAACCCAGGTCTCCCGCATTGCAGGCAGATTCTTTACCAGCTGAGCCACCAGGGAAGCCATATATATGTGTTAATATACTGTATATGTCTTTTTCTTTCTCACTTGCTTAACTCTATATAATAGGCTCTAGGTTTATCCACCTCATTAGAACTGACCCAAATGCATTCCTTTTTGTGGCTGAGTAATATTCCATTGTGTATATGTATTAATACCATGGCTTCTTTATGCATTCATCTGTTGATGGACATCTAAGTTGCCTCCATGTCCTAGCTAATGTAAATAGTGCTGTGATGGACATTGGGGTACATGTGTCTTTTTCAGTTGTGGTTTCCTCAAGGTATATGTAGGCCCTCAATCTCTTGTGTCCTCAAAATTTATCACCACCGTCTTGCCAAATGGTTACTTTCCTGGCTGGAACGGTTACCTCTTTTTTGCCATATGCAACTTTTGCGTCTCTGGAGCAGCTGCAGGCTAACCAATAACAGTGCTGCTCACAGCTGCCTGGAGAGGGTTCCTGTGAGGAAGTGACTCTCCTGGGTTCTCCCTCCAAATCATTAAGTCACTCTCCCGAGACTCTGTGAGTGAGAGAGACAGTATCTGGATCTAGGGACTCTGGGCTAGGAGTCTGGGGAGTTTGGTTTTTAACTACTGTGTTGTATACTATGGACTCATGCAAATATCTTTCAGGGTAAATACACGGAGCAGAGTTGTCTGCCTCCTGCTTTGTCCCTAGAATACATACACATCTTGAGTGAAGAAAAAGAGGAATTGTCTTCTCTTTACCTGTCTCTCTTTTCTCTTTCCCTATTTCTTTTATTTTTAAAAAACTATTTTGTTTTAATGTTTTAGTGTGTTTCATTTAATTTTTTTTTATTTTTGGCTGCACCGGGTCTTCGTTGCGGCATGTGGGCTTTCTCTAGTTGGGGTGAGCAGCGGCTGTCCTTCGTCGTGGTGTGAAGGCTTCTCACTGCAGTGGCATCTCTTGTTGCAGAGCTTGTGCTCTAGGGCACGTGGGCTTCAACAGTTGTGGCTCACGGGCTTAGGTGCTGCGTGGCATGTGGGGTCTTCCCCGCTTGCATTGGCAGGCGGATTCTTAACCAGTGGACCACCAGGGAAGTCCTTGCTATTTCTTTCTTATCTTGTTTGTCCCTCTGCAATGATATTTGACTCCGCAGAGAAGTCTCTTTCATTTTGAGGCAGTTTCCCTGTGTCCAAACCAAGAAGGTCAACCTGAGTCATCTCCGAAGTCCCTTCTAGCACCGTCATGCCTGTTTGACTTCAACGTGAGAAAGGACTTCTGACTGCAGTGGGCTCACAGCTGGTTGAGGAGTGATGGTTCTTTAAACTGACCACAGGGTCAGGGGATTTCCTGCAAAGCTCTAAATCTTTCCCACAAAGAGGTGACCTTGTACCTACAGCTCCTTCATCTCCATATGCCTTTGGTGCAGTGGTGTTTGTCACCGTGAGTGATTCCATAAGCTAAACCAGCAGTTGCCCATGCTTCTTGGTTGATTAATTTTCTAGGGAAAAAAAGAAAGCCCATTCATTATCATGGTTCTTTTTTTGGGAACCAACAGGATTTTAACATATATTCTACACACAGGTTCACAGTCCCTCTTTTTACTTGGAGCCCTTTTCTATGAAAACAAGAGCAAGCAATATTTATTACAAATGGCTGCTTTTTCAATTTACTCTAGGAGCTATTTTTTCTAGACCCCTTTGCAATTTGAATGTAACTGATTAATTGGAGTTCATTTATACACACCAGTGTATTGCTCTTCTATTTTTATTGAAGTATAGTTAATTTATAGTGTTGTGTTAGTTTCAAGTGTACAGCAAAATGATTCAGTTATGCATATATATGTATGTGTATGTATGTTCTTTTTTCAAACTCTTTTCTACTACAGGCTTTCACAAGTTATTGAATGCAAATCCTTGTGCGGCACAGTAGGTCCTTGCTAACCTATTTTATATATAGTAGTGTGTACCTGTTAATCCCAAACTCCTGATTTATCTCTTCCCCCACTCCTGCTATTCTCTTTGAAAATTAATTTATTTTAATTGGAGGATAATTCCTTTACAATATTGTGGTGGGTTTTGCCATACATTGACATGAATCAGCCACAGGTCCCATGTGTTCCCCCACCTACTTACTTATCAATACAAAACAGACACACAGACACAGAAAATAAACTTGTGGTTATTCTCTTTGGTAGCCATAAGTTTATTCTCTTTGGTAGCCATCAGTTTATTTTCTTTGTCTGTGAGTCTGTTTTGTATTGATAAGTAGTTCGTTTGTATCATTATTTTAGGTTCCACATATAAGTGATATGATATTTGTCTTTCTCTGTCCAATATTAGCACATGTTTATAGACACCCTCAGTGGCCCGTTTCTGCAGTGATATTGGTGGAGGGGTCACTGAGACGACCTCATTACTATGAATGATGTGAACTCTACAGCAGAGTAATAGTGTTAAGAACTATATCAAAGTATGACTAGTAAGTGTGGGCCCAACTAAATGCACCATGCTTTCCTATATAACTCTTATTCCTTCCCAGAAACTATGCAATCTGTTCTTTTATCTAAAAACGGAAGTTACTTGCTCAGATCCTTTCAAAGCAAGAAAGGTGTTTCTGTTG